GTTACAATGCTATGAGGCATTCAATATTTCTCAGTTTATGTTATATTTTCTTAATATGTTTGATCTTCACATGAAAAGAACAAATAATAACAATATAAAGAATGAAGGAATCATAATGAAATTGGAAAAAATCTTTTTGTAAAATCTTGGTTTTTAAGCGGGATGGCCCCTCGGTGAGTATAACATTAGGACTATTGCCCACTTTAGACATGGCAATGACTGCAGATCATCCATTAATTATGGTGCTCAATTCCGTAGTTCAAGAAGTAATAAGCGTTTGGTTCTTATAGAGATGACTGCGAAAGGTCTAAATTCCAAATAAAAACAAGCGACAAACTCGCGAAAAGAAAAAACTCAAATTTTAACTAAACTCAGCTAAATAAATAATAAAACAAAAACAACCAAGACAAGAGAAGTAATAACTTCCAAAAACAAAACGTAATGAAAAACTAGCGATTGGAAAGAAAAAAGAGGAAGTACACGTAATTTCATTGTAGTTTGAAATATTAAATTTACAAAAGATTTCAACAATAGCCAATGAGGTATGCATACTCCTAAAATAAATACAAATAATTACCACATTCAAGAGGCAAAAAATTGAATAAGAATGACCTCAAATAGAATAACCTTTTAAGTTAGTCAGATCGCCTGGCAACGTCGAGTTTAAGCTAATGGATCTAAGCGGTTGAGAAAAATTCATACACTTCGGCAAAAAGGTTTTAACCTTAAGATTAACAAGGCACGAATAACGGGCAGTAAGTTGTTCTTTACGGCATCGTCACATAATACTCCTGCCAGAAGGTGCTCGGACTAATATAGGTAAAGTCAACGGTCAGCATCAAAACAAAGCAAATTAGAATAGACATTCACACAGCGAGCTCTTAAAATGACCTCAACCATTCGGTAGTTGATGTGTCATCCCTGGCCAATGAAGTGTGCTGCCGCGAGCTGTACAGCTGTACAACACAGGAAGTCCAATAAATTCATCACTGAAATTGAACTTCCCCTGAGTTCAAGTTATTTACATAAATTTTTTTGGTTGTCAGTTAACGGAAATAAAGACCACATGTCTTTTAAATTCTACTGGGCCTCTTCCAGTTTGTAGCTGATTAATGTCGGCAATTGCAAGGAGTTTCTGCGAACCCCCATGGCTAAGTAGTTGAGGACCTCATCCAAGCTGTGAGTCTGGATTTTGAGATTAAGTAACCTACGAAAACTAAAGTTCTACAAGGTGTCGTTTCTCCATTCGAGAGAGCAGAAGTCTATGCTTGTCAGACATACGCATCCATTCTATTCGTCAAAATTACAATCGGACGTCTTTACAACTTTCTGGTTCACAAGCTTCTGGTTTTTCGTTTAAGATTAACCGATTGAGCAAAATAATATTTTAAATTCATGTGTTTCTTGTAATAATATATTTTTCTTTGTGTCAAAGAAGATTGATCCATCTGAATTTAAAATTTTTAAGGAAAATGTGTTTTTATGTTTTTTCTAATAAACCTGGATTATATTCGCCAGCCATTTCGACTCTTCGTCGTCTGAAAAATAATTTGAATTGGCGCGGCCATTTTTTTTG